AAGGAGCTACATTTCGATAAAACATCAGCAAGTAATACCACATCATCCAAGAGCTAGGGGACATAATCAATGCACCAAACCCCCAAACCCATGTGGCAGAAGGATCTGAGATTAAAAAAAAAAAAAAACTAAACTCATAGAAAACCCAAGAGATAAAATTATAGCAGAAAATTCCCTAAATCTGGGGGATGGGGATGGTGGATACATTTATCATTATATAATATATATAAATGTATATAAAATAATATATACATTTACAATCTCAAATAGTTTTGACCAAATAAGAGCTTGACCATGACACATTATATTAAGGATGTCCAAAGCAGAGAAACAATATTAAAAACTGCAAGAGAAAAATGCCAACTCACAAAGCAAATCCACCAGAATAACATTATACCTCTGAGCAGAAACCTCCAAAGCCACAAAAGCATAACGTTATGGTTTAAAGCCCTGAAAATAGATAGCCATCAACCAAAATTTACTATGGCCATCAAAGTCATCTTTTCCAATCAATAAAGGAAAAAATAAATTTCAAGACAAGCACAAATTAAGGTGATGCATGACCACCGACCAGTGCTAGAGCCAAACACACTACACTCGGAGAAAGAAAGGCAGTCTCGACAGAACAAAGGAAATAGATGAACAAAATGGAATTAGGAAAGAATCCATCATGTCTAACCCAATAAACCACCAAATACGAGTCTCAAGAGAGGGGGAAAATAGGGAATAAGCATGCATCAAACCAGCCAGGAAAGTAAACACCAAGATTAAGGAATCAACAGAGATTTTCTGAATACTGTTTCTTGTTGTTTCTTTGGTTTGGTTTTTTGAGACAGAATCTCACTCTGTGCTCTAGGCTAGCCTCAGTTTATTACATAGCCTCAAACTTGCTATTCCGATGACGCCTCACTAATATGGCTGCCTAAAAAAAGACCTGAACAAGGACGACACCAAAAGACGTGCTAACATGGAAGGCGAGAGTCTCATGGGACCTCAACCCTAGACAAAGAACTAGAGTCAACCAAGGAATGCTGAGAGCAGGAAAGTAGTCCAAGTGGACAACTGTTGGTTACTGCCAAGGCACACACGCCACTAATACACCCTTAGGGATAAATGTCCTGCTGGTTGTCATTGTGGTCCATAGACATCATAGCTGGGTAGGGCAACTGGTTGCTTCCCTCCGTTAGAGGACACCTTCTTGTACCATAAAAGCTAGTCCTTGGAGATGTGTTTTCTTTTCCTTTTTTATGATTACTTTATATAGTTAATTTTTTCCTGACAATTTTAACTACTTAAAAACTAATTGAATTTTTTGTTTTTGTGTTTTCTATTTATCAATTTCTGTTTTTATCTTCATCATACCCTTTCTTCTGATCACTTTGAGCTTAATTTACTCATCCTTTTCGAGTTTATTAAAGTGAAAACTTAGATAACTTACTTTATACCTTTCTCCTGGGTTTTTTTTTTTTAAGATTTATTTATTTATTGTGTATACAGTGCTCTGTCTATGTGTATCCCTGAAGGCCAGAAGGGGGCACCAGATCTCATTACAGATGGTTCTGAGCCACCATGTGGATGCTGGGAATTGAACTCAGGACCTCTGGAAGAACAACCAGTACTCTTAACCTCTAAGCCATCTCTCCAGCCCCTTTCCCCTGTTTCTAATGTAAACATTTAATGCTATGAATTCTTTATAACTGCTCATTGAGTTACAATTCACAAGTTTCTTATATTTTAGCTTTCCTTCAAAGTAAGTGTTTTCAAAATTGTAAGTACTTTCCATTTGCCTTCTAATTTCTTCTTTGGATTGTTTAGAAAATTTTTTTTCTGGGGGCTGGAAAGATGACTCAGAGGTTAAGAGCACTGGCTGCTCTTCCAGGGGTCCTGAGTTCAATTCCCAGCAACCACATGGTGGTTCACAACGATCTGTAGTGAGATCTGGTGCCCTCTTCTGGCCTGCAGGGATATATGCAGGCAGAACGCTATATAATAAATAAATAAATAAATGAATGAATGAATGAATGAATAAATAAATAAATGGATGAATAAATAAATAAATAAATAAATAATCTTTTTTAAAAAGACTTTTTTTTCTGGCTTCCAGTGTTTGATTTGTCCGTGATTTATTTCTTATTTCACTCTGTTTTACTTAGGAGACATATTTAAGCCACTTTTTTTTTTCTGGTACTGAAGATTGAGCCCAGACTTAATCTTTTAAATCTTCTTCATAGGGCACACAACAGTATTTACTTATTCTAAATTAAGTTTTATTACATGTATTCATTTAGAGAGAAGGGAGAGAGAGAACCATACTGCAAGTGTAGAGGTCAGAGGATGTCGTCAGCTTTCTCCTTCTTCCTCGTGTGTCCCAGAGTTCTTCAGGTGAGAGGAGGCAATCGCCTTTACCTCTTGAGTCATTTTGACAGCCCTGTTTATTTTTATTTGAGTTGTGTGTGTGCATATGTGTGTGCCTATGTGTGCACATGTGTATACGTGTGGGGGCAAGTGGTCAGCGTCTTCCTCTACCATTCCCCACTTAATTTTTTCTTTCACTGAACCTGGTGCTCATTGGTTCACACAACGGCTGGGCTAGGACCCGCCTGTGTCCATACAACAAACTCCCCCCAACGGGTTCACGTATTAGCGCGATGTTTTGTGCGGATGCCTGGGATCCAAATTCAGGTCCTCGTGTTCATACAGCAAGCACGTCACCAACTGAGCCGTCCCCTCAGCCCAAGAGAATGTATAATTTCGTCTTGTTAGGCTGTTTTTCTTTCATATTGGGAATCTGAGAAGAAGGAAGCTCTTACAATATTGCTGAAAATCTCTATAAAATTATGCGCCATCATGTCTTGGTTTGTTTTGTGCTACTATAACAAAATACTGCAAGCTAGATGTGTTATATAGTCAACAGACATTTATTAAGCTCATAGTTCTGCAAGTTCAAAAGGCTGCATCCAGTGAGCGCCTTCTTGCTGCATTATCACACGGCAGGAGGCATCAGCAGGCAAGAGGAAGAGGAACTTGGTGGAACTTACTCTTTATCGGGAACTCTTACAAGAATGGACTCCTGAAACAATGGCATGAATCCATCCTTGAGTGCGGAGCTCCTCATGACCTCAATACTTGTATTGGGATTATGTTTTCAATGTACAAACTCTGGACCATCATTCAAACTGTCACCAAGCTGCCTTCCTTCCCTGCCTGGCCTGGGTACATGTTGGGTTCCACATGGGGAAGCTGCTGCTGTAATTGGGCAAAAGGTCTATATATGTATATACAAATACATATATGCTTGCAATAACAATTGGCAGAAAGAAGTCATGAGTTTGAAGGTGAGCAGGAAAGGGTATATGGGAGAATTTGGAGGAAGGAAAGGGAAAGGGGAAATTAGGTCATTATATTATAATCTCAAAACATACAAGAAATAATTTAATGAAATAAAAGTTTAAAAAGGGATAGGAACCTGAAGAGATGATTCGGTCATTAAAAGTTCTTACCCTTTTGCAGAAGACCTAGGTTCAGTTCCCAGAACCCATATGGCAGCTCACAATTTCTCAGATTCCCAATGTTAAAGAAAAACAGTCAAATAAGACAAAAATATATATATATACTCTTGGGCTGAGGGGCAGCTTAGTGGGGTGGGGTGGGGGGAACACAGCTTAGTGGGTTGTGGTTGTGGTTCCTCTTCCGGCCTCTAGGGGCACAGGACACACGTGGTGCTCATACATACTTGCTGGCTGGCACACATATACATAAAATAAAAATAAATAAATCTCTTACACTAAAAAAAATGGTCAGTACTAGAGACACAAGCTTATTGATTGCTCTTCCCGGGGACCCGGGGTGGAAGGGTGGAAGGGTTTAACAGCTGTCAATCAGGCAGTCAAAGTTCCCGGATCTGACAGTTTCCGGTATGTAAAAGGGGAAGAAAATATTAAGTGGTGCCTGCAGAGACCCGAATCCTCAGATTTGCCCGAGCTGGACTTACAGGCGGTTGTGAGCCTCCTAACATCGCGCCAGGAATGGAAGTCCAGCGCTCTGGAGGAGCTGCCAACACTCTTAACCACTGGAGCCATCTCTCCAGGCTCCAGGTTATAGCTCTTGAGCAAAGCGTTTATACATTGTCTGTTAGGTTTAGTCCAAGTATTTGATAATTTATGATGCAACTGAAAAACTATATCATTACACAGTTAAATATTTTCTTTTTAAATTAATTTTTAAGTTAGTGTACAAAGTGATAGGTTTCACTGTGGCATTTTCATATGCATTCTCTCCCCCTTCGTTCGACCTCACACAGCTTTTGGAACTACTTCCTGTATTCTTGTCAGAAAGTTGATTTTTTTTTTTTTTTTTGAGACAGGATCTCACTGTGAAGCTCTGGCTGCCCTGAAACTCACTATGTAGACCAAACTGGCCTCCGATTAACAGAGATCTGCCTGCCTCTGCCTTCAGAGTGCTGGAATCAAAGGCATGCATCACCATGCCTGCGGGGAAAGTTGACTTTTATTGTCTGCTGGGCCCTTTTATGTACCGCAACATCTTCCTAGTTGCATGTATCTACTTGTTAGCCCTTGACTTAGTATTTCCTATATTATATTTAGTTAGTTAGTTCACATTTACTTATACCACTCTGTCAATTCTCCCGTATATAATACTTTTGAAGTTTATCCAAGAATATAGCCTTCAGGCATACTTTTCATCAAATTTGAAAAGTACTAGCAAAGAAATACCAAGTTTATTCTCAGCATTTAAGAAAGGGAAATTTATAAAATTCAGATACAGGCTAGGATCCGAAATATCAAATCATAACACATAGCACTGGTATGTTGGAATTTCTGTCGTCTCTAAATGAGACAGAATGGACGGCCATGATACAAGTAAGAAAGTGCAGTACATCAGAGCACATCACACAAAACTGCCCTCATGGAGAAAATCAGCGGCTACCAAGGCAGGTCTTATTAGCAAAGATTCAGGCAAGTTGGCAATGTGTTTTTTCTTCACGTCTGGCTCAACTTTTGTAGCTTGCTCACATGCTCCCTAAACACCTGCTTCACCTGCTTGTTCCTCAGGGTGTAGATGAAGGGATTGAGTGTTGGTGTCACTACAGTGTTGAGCAATGCCACCACCTTGTTGTGATCCTCCCCCTGTCCACTCTTGCCGGACCGGACATACATAAAGATACAGCTGCCATAGAAGAGAGACACCACAATGATGTGAGAGGAGCAAGTTGAGAAGGCTTTCTTCCTCTCCTTGGCTGAGGGGATGTGCAGGATGGTGTAGAGGATGTGGCCATAGCATGTGGCAGTCACAGCCAGAGTGCCCAGGAGGCTGAAGTTGGCAATAACAAAACCCAGGAACTCCATCAGGCTTGTATCTGCACATACTAGTTCCAAGAGTGGAAAGTTGTCACAGAAGAAATGATTAATGATGTTGGAGCCGCAGAATGGCTGCTGAAATAAAATGGAGCTGGGAACCGTGATGAGAAGTAATCCCGACATCCATGAGCAAAACACAAGCTGGACACAGACTCTTTTGCTCATGATGGTGGCATAACGCAGAGGGTTACAGATGGCCACGTACCTGTCAAAGGACATCACTGCCAGTAGAAAGAACTCCGTGGTGCCCAGGAAGAAATAGAGGAATGCCTGGAGGAAGCAGCCTAGTAGGGAGATGGTCTTGTGTCCTGTGATGATGTTGGTTAGCATCTTGGGGAAGATGACGGAGGTGAACCAGATCTCTAGGACGGCAAAGTTGCGCAGGAAGTAGTACATGGGGGTGTAAAGACGCCTGTCCGCAAGAGTGATGAAGATGATGAGGAAGTTTCCCAGCAGTGTGAGGAGGTAGGTCAAGAGGAAGCCCAGGAAAATGAGCACCTGCAGCTCACAGGCATCAGACAGCCCCAGCAAAATGAACTCAGTGACAGTGGTGCTGTTCTCCATGGCTCCTCCCACCTCTGCTGAGGATGCTCACAGATGATGCTCAGCATCAGGACCTGACTTCTGAGCACCTGGTGACAATACAGGCCTGAAAAATCAGGAGGAATGAGTATTGCACTTCGAGCTGGAGGGCTCCCTTAGTGTTTTAAGCTTCTCGCCTTCTCACTCCTCAGGCTAGTGATTAAGATCTCTCACTGAGTCAAGAGCAGATCATAAACTTGGACATCATTTTAGGAAATTTGGGGTAGTTACTTAGAGAAAAAAATTTAAACATCTTTTTATGTAACCTATCTTCTTTCTGCTAGGAAATTTTTTCATTATTTTAGATTGGATGGTATCTTTTTCCATATTCACTTAAATGTTGTAAGAGGCCTCCTAAATCCATGAAAACATTTCCCTTTGCAAATGTGAATCAAAGACTCTTATCACCATCGTTGATGGGAAGCTTACCAAGCTTGCTACGGAAGGCATTTTAGAAAAGATGGTGACTGGGCTTGAATTCCAGTTACCTCAACTTAAGAATCTCATTTCATCCATATGAAAAACAGAAACAAAACCAAAACAGTACCTATGGAAACTTCTTCCGAGATTTAAGCAGATAATTCATAGCCAATACACAGTCCTGGGCTGGACACAAGAGCAAGCAGCTCCATAGTGCTGCTTATCTTCATTTCTTCCTTTATGACCAAAATTAGTAGGATAATAATGTAAGGGTAGTGTAATAGGAAATATAGTGGATTTAGGGGAAACATTGTTTTCAAATATGTCAAAAAATCGTAAAAAAAATATTGTCTGTGGGCTGGTGGGAGGGCTCAGTGGGTAGAGCACTTGCTATGTGAGCCTGATAACCATAATTCAATCCCTAGAACCCCTGCAGAGGTGGAAGGACAGCCCCACATCCACAAAGTGGTCCCCTGACGGCCACACTTGCTCTACGGCACACAATAATAATAATAATAATAATAATAATATAAATATTAACAGCTCATTATAGAATTTAGGAGTGTAGAGTAAGAGAAATAAAGACTCATCTGTATCCCCACAGAGACGGCATCCACGATGATTTTTTTTTAATTTGAAGATTTATTTTTATATTTTTAACTATATATAAATGTTTGAGTCTGTGTGTGAGTATGTGCATGTGAGTACAGGTGCCCTCAGAATCAGAGATGTTGGATCCCCTGGAGCTGGAGCTGCCCAACATGGGAGTTGAACTCAGGTCCTCTGCAAGAGCAGGATGTGCTCTCAATTACTGAGCCATCTCACTTTTCCCAGTCTATGAAGACTTTGAGGTGCAGGGCTGGGAGGGGAGCTCTGTGGCACAACCCTTATCTAATCTGTTAGAGGCTGGTTTCAAGCACCACAGCTCTGTTTTGTGCGGACTCTGTTGCATGTTTTATATTGTTCTTTATCATCTATGGATTGGCTTATATAGCTATACTCATAGATTACGCATTTCACCCCTTTGCTTCTCATATATTAATAAAATGATATGTCATTATTATAAACATTTTGTAGTTATTTGGCTACTACTTTTTTGAGGAATACATGTACATGAAACTGATATGTAGAGGTGAGAAGATGCATTTTTATCATGTTTAGTGCTTTTGTATAATATCCAGAATAATCAAATCAAATAATAGTAATATAAATGGCCATCCAGAGTTATTCATGAATTCGATCTCAATTTTAGAGAATATATCTTTCACCTTAAGTGATTATTCTTTCTAGCGTATATAAGTTAATATTGTCCTTAGACTGTCCTCAACTTTGCAATCCTCTTGCCTCACCCTCTAAAATGCTGGGAATACAGATGTGTGCCCTCACACCTGGCTCAAGGCAAGCTTCTTTCTGTGTGGGCAATGAACTCTGTCACAGACAAGAGAAGGAACTGATGTGATAAGGTTAACTCTGAGAAATGACAACATACTACATTATACATGAGTAAAATATGTGTTTTTATGGAGAAGTACCAGCCACTAGAAGAGAAAATGGACGTGCAAAAATAGAGGGTTATGAGTGGCTTTTCTTTTATATGATTGTTTGTGTAATATTCTAAATCCAAAAATGAAAGAAATGGGCACAGTAAGCTTATTTGGGTTTAGAGTTGGGTAGAACATTTTGCCAACAAAGAGGAAACAAATGGTTGAAAACACAGGAAAAGCCAATGAGGGGTCATTCCTGGGAGATGCTAGTTCTGCCCCTTGCAGCGGTCATGGTTAACTACAGCTCTTTGTCTAGGGGTGGAACCTTGTGAAAATATCTCCTTTCCACATACTTATGTGTATGTGCATACAAATCATACATATTCTAGAAATGTATGAATAGTAATACTCAAAGAGAAGGGAGCTATCAATTTGAGAAGGGGGTTGTGAAGGTTGGAAGACAGGCACTGAGAAGAGCTGGAGAGAGGAAAGGAAAGGGGGAGAGTGAGATACTTCTGTTTTCATCTAAAAGGTATTTTAAAAAGAAAGTATAAGAAAAACCTTGGAGATACTGTGATTCACGGGGCCGCACTCCAATCGAGATACTTGAGAAGTGAGAAGGAACCAGAGAAGCAGCTGTGCTGTAGTCGGCCAGTGGACACCTGGAAACAATAACAGGTGTTTAGACAGAGTCCTGAAGGACGCTTTTCCCCATTCCAAAAATTGCACCAGGCATACAACCCTACTCCCTGATGGCTGTAGTACTTGACTAATAACTGTTTTTCATGGAAGCCTCTGGGTCTACAATGTTGCTTGAAGGACTACACTTCTTTAGAGAATCGCCAGAGTTTCATAAGATGGAGGCTCCAGGGCTGCCAGATGTTCTGCCACTCACAAACACAGGCAGGTCTTGTCCCATCGCACTTCACACACTACCAGACCTTCATGTTTTCCCATCTCCTTTGCAATACTCTCTCCCTCAGTCCTCCCCAAAATGAGCTATCTCTGGAAACTCACCAGAACTGGATTTACAAACTCCTTAGGTGACTGTTAGTGCTCCTGACCCCAAGTGTCATTCCTGGACCACTTTCATAAGAAAGTTAAATATCCGCCGGGCGGTGGTGGTGCACGCCTTTAATCCCAGCACTCGGGAGGCAGAGCCAGGCGGATCTCTGTGAGTTCGAGGCCAGCCTGGGCTACAAAGTGAGCTCCAGGAAAGGCGCAAAGCTACACAGAGAAACCCTGTCTCGAAAAACCTAAAAAAAAAAAAAAAAAAAAGAAAGTTAAATATCCATCTACAGTTCCTATATTAGAGAGATTCTATTTGATGACTCAATTGATGACTCATGTGACTGGCTCTTGCATGCTGGACTTGATCTTCCAGGCCCATCATGCCCACAGAAGATTTGGGGGTAGAGCAATCATGGTAGACCCCTTGTCTCTGTGGACTGGGAAGAGGCCTGGGGTATTAGAAGTTCTCTTTGGTCTCCATGGAAATTCAGAGATGCGCAAAGATGCATAGCTCAGACTTAACTCATCTGAGATTCTCTGTTCTTGTTGGATGGTGCTATACTTCCCTTGAGATTCATTACTATCGGTGATAACAGGGACCTAGGAAGGTCCCTTTCCTCCTACTTCATTCAACTCTCAGACTTAAAGTTTACTTTGTTCTGATCAAGAAGCCCAGAAACTTCCAATAAAGTTTTAATTGGGACAAAGAAACAAACAAAAAACCCAACAACTTATTACTTCTTTGAGAATTTCATATATACATCATATCCAGCCCATTCCTCCTCTTAACTCTTCCTAGATCCACCCATACCCCCTTCCACCTTTGTATCCTCTCCTGGCCACCCCAGTGAGTCCACTGCACCAAGAAACTTCCCTGATGAGGTCTGAGAACCACACTAATTTGCGTGTCTGGGATATATATATATATATATATATATATATATATATATATATATATATATATATATAATAACAGTTTGATACTATATTCATTGAGCATAATAATAGGAGGTTCACCTCTGGGGTCTATGAGCTTTCCAACTATGGGCTAGGCTATTGGCCAGACTTACAGTTAACAGGCCTGGGCTTCTTCCTGTGGAGTGGAACTTAAATCCAACCAGAAGGCAGTTGGTTATCCCCATAACATTCAGGCCACTACTGCACACATGAACATATCTGCCATGTTTGCCATCATTTCTGCTTACAAGATTAGCAGCTAAGTAAGACTGTTGGGTGCTTTCCCCCCAGCAGGCTACCTGGCACCTTCCAGTACTATGAAAGCTAGCAGCAGGGAGGAAGCTTCCTGGTCAGTATCAACTTGATTTATCCATGTGCTATGAACAAAGTGTGTGCTGTCTTCAGCAATAAGGTCTTACCATTAAGTCCTGGTGGGCAGCCAGGAACAATAGCAACAGCCATTCTTTTGAGAATCTCCCAGCTCTCTTCTAAAATTTTTTTGTTGGTTGGTTGTTTTACCCATTTTAGAGTGGTGTGTGTGTGTGTGTGTGTGTGTGTGTGTGTGTGTGTGTGTGTGTACGTGTGTGTGTACATGCGCATGTACACAGAAAGAAAGTAGACTGTAGCTGGGGTTTTCCTGTGTCCCACCTGGCCCATGGTCAGGACAAATCTCTCTCACCTGCCAGTCCTGCAGCCACCTGGACCCAAGTAAACACACAGAGACTTATATTAATCAAAACTGTGTGGCCTAATGGCTCAGGCTTCTTCCTAGCTAGATCTTACATCTCAAATTAACCCATTTCTATAAATCTATACCTTGCCACGTGGCTCGTGGCTTACCGGTGTCTTTACACCTTACTTCTCATGGTGGCGGTGGCAGCATCTCCTGACTCAGTCTTCCACTTCCCAGAATTCTCCTCTCTGCTTATCCTGCTTATACTATACTTCCTGCCTGGCTACTGGCCAACCAGCATTTTATTCATCAACCAATCAGAGCAGCACATTCACAGCGTACAGAGTGACATCCCCAGCAGCAGACGTGCATGTGTGTACATGTGTGTGAAGGTCAAAGGACAACTTTTGGCATTGGTTTTCACTTTCCACCTCACT